TCAAGTGCGGCGACGGCGAACAAAGTTACAAACTGGCGAAACTTCATGCTGACGAAGCCGCAAATACTTTCGTTGGCGTGTAACAAAAAAAGTTTAATTTTGCGAGCTCACCGAAACAAATTTTGCGGCGGTTGAGAAGTTCTTCTCGCCGAGCTAAAGAGTTACGCTAAATTCGTCGGTTTTTTCTATTACAAGCGTTGCGCACAAAATTTTCGTAGTTCTTTAAAGAATGTTTTCACATTTTTTATGAACTCACATTCTTGAAAGTCACGTCATTACTTACATATTTCTTTCTCGTAGTTACAATGTTATATGGATCTTAGTTTTTATTATATACACATATATAAATTAATCTAATTTAATAATTTACATACACTTTATGAAAAGAAACAGTAGTTTATAAAACCTATTATATTTTGATATTTTGCTTCGAGTAGTATATAATGTTTATTGCTATGAAACAAATGTAACACTTGCATAAAAAAAACGTCAAATAATAATGATTAATGGCAAAATTATCATCTTAAAAAAAAACATTTGTATTGTTTTATTCTCTGTGTCTGTTTCAACTTTTATATAAAATACAGAAAAATCTTTGAAGAGAATCAGAATATAAATATATATATTTAACATTAACACATACATTTATGTTATTACTATATTATTTCTACTATTATTCTACTATATGCATTACTATATTAAAGAGAGAGAGAGAATTGCGCTATTTCCTTTACAATATTCCAAGCACATATAATTTTTTGTAGTATGCCAGTTTAATTTTTAAATTTTTCATTTTTTATAATTTTTTGTCTATATGCATATCTGTGTGTACATATAAGGTCTGAGGTCTCGTTATTATAAGTTAATGATACCACATGGGATATAGTTCGCGTATTCCATATGGACAAGGAAGTCTACGACAAGTTTCGATTAAATGTAGTAATGAGGAATGTGAAATATCTCTCGAGACACTATTATTTCCATCTTCCATATAGAATTGCATTCTGAACATACCTCATTATGTTTTTATCGGAAAAGTCTATATATATGTACATATACATATTCATATATTGTAAATTATTTGTTTTTTATGCATTGTCACATTTTTATTTAATTGCCATAATATAATATTTGACATGATATTTGATTACACACATATATTGTGTAATATAATCAAAGCACACAACGCATTTTCAAAAATAATGTTTATAAATCTATCTCTGTCAATAAAATTAAATTATTAATACAGAAACCAAATTATTAAATAAATCTAACACAAATTCAATTTTAAAATTATTAATCTTTCTATAGTAAAGCTATATAATGCGTATAAATAATTATTAATATTAAAGCATAAAGCTGTTATTGCAAATTTAACTGATAAAATGAAGATTTATATATTGAAGAGATAAACTGGTCGAGAGTTTCGTCAATGTAGAACCAGAAACGATTCACGCAGTAATTTGAAATTATGTGGGTAATTAAATAATTTATCATGGTAAATGGCATAACATGATATGGGGAAACAAGTTTAGTTGGGCTCGCATGTAATTCATGGCACGGCATCGCATGCGGCCGGCTCTTTCGTCATTGAAACTCTGACACGCTCATAAACACAGAGCTCATTCGCTCATAAACACCGCATGCTTATCGTGTAGGCCTGTTAGAACCCAATTATGGGTCCGATCGCAATCGAACGCCGCATTCGCTAAAAACACGCAGAAACTCGCTGATCTTATATGTATATAAATGGAAATATACCGCTTTTACCGCAAACGGTGTAACGCTCTGATAGGGTGTGTAACAAGCAAAGTTACGGCGAAAGGCGATAATAATTACTGTTGTATACTGTCGCAGAAATTTAATTCGCACTAGTTTTTAAATAAAAATATTACAGTGCATATTGTTAACTTATTATGATTATTAAAAAAACAAGATAAGAATTGGAATAAATAAGAATAAAAAATGATAGGGTTAATAGATAAATTATTCACAATTCGAGCAATAACGTAAGAGATTGACACACATGTAAATATATATAATAACAATATAATAAATATTTAATACATAGACATAAATAATAAAGTTACTTAAATTAAGTTTATCTGTAATATCCTAGCTTATATATAATAATGAATATTGTATTTAGTATTATTAATTATTATTAATATAATATTGCTATGAATAGAGATTGGAGTCTATATTTTTATCTTATAATTTTCAGTTTGTTAGAATAAACATCGTATAAAATATTATTGTTAATTACAAATAATTAAAATAAAAATAATATAAAGAAAAAAAATAAAAATATTTAAAAAACGTGTTAAGTAACGTTTATTATGAAAAATGTTGATAATAAACATTTTAATAACATCATTTTGTTTAATACCAAAACTAATAAATACCGCAAAAACAACTAGATTCTGGGGAAAGATAAGGGCAACAATGTTATGTAGTATATGTACAACTAGGTAATCCAAGTTTTCCGGAAAACTGATGAAAATAACGGTAATAAGCAGCTTGGAATATGCAATTCATGCGATTCATGCGTGTATTATGGCATGTGGGAATATACCTATATTAGACTACGTACTAATGCATATCGTCGCGTGTATATACCCTTGTGTGCCGTGGATATTATTTCACATTCATACGTGTATGTTTACCGCGGGGCACATCCTGAGCCGCATATATAACCGAGAGTTACAGAAGCGAAAATTTCCCGCTTCGTGTACGCCGCGAAAGCGTAACGTGTTCATACTATTTTTCTATTCCTTTTACCAAGGAAAAAGACGACATTACGTGTACCACAGATTGCACATATTTAAATAATTTTAATTAAATCTCTCTTTGTTTCTTGCTTGGGTTTTGATCTTTTACCCCTTTTATGTGCTTTTTCTCACACATATTAGAACACATAAGAGATTCTGGGTGCAATTTCATATGTCAAAGAAAGTGATTTTAGAATATTTAGAAACGTTATTAGAAATTCTTTTAATGTATACTATGTTAAAAATATTTTTTAATAAGCGATATTATTAATATTTTTTGAAAATCTATTTAATAGCTTTTCTTATTAGCAAATAAAATAAGCGGAGACCCGTACAGTTATCTTTTAAGATTTTTACAAACTAAGCATTAAGTTTATGAGATTGCAGACATATAATTTTCTGTGCATATGCATTTGGCATAAATTTTTCATTTTTTAAACGTGCAATAGCGTATGAAAAACAACTGAGAAAGGATGATACAAATTTTTAATGTATCCAAGCGATGGTCTTGTTAAAGGAATAATGGCCGAAAGAAGATCCGCATACAGAGAGATAGACATAGTCAACACAATATTTCAGAATTCAAATTTGATTTTGCAATTTCCGAATGCAAAGTTGTAATTCAGAGAGATATTTTTTCTATGAATAATGTATACATTAAAAAATTTAGTACAGAAATATATATGCAGTTAAATAAAAAGTCCTAAATCAATAAATATGTAAAAATCAATACAATAATCACCAGAAATTTTCTATTATATATCGGAGCTGCTCATTTAAACGTTTCACGGGTAGAAACATCTTTACAAAAATGAACGTGAAAACAGATATGTGACCGAGTGTTTTAAACGGATTATGATCATAGGTTATTTCGCACACAAGGCACGAATATTGCAAATAAATCAAAATTCTTCCAGCTTCCGCTGTAAAAGATGCTCATAGGTACCCTTTTTGAATAAAAAAGGCAGAACGACGCGAAATGGAGAAAAACCAGTGTGAGATGCTAGAAAGATAAAGCTTTCGATCGATCGATTGGATAATCCATTTTGATTACAAACTAGAACTTAAGTAATTTTTTTGTTTTGTTATCAAATGGTTCATTTTTTTTAAATAAACATGAGACGAACGCATCGCACAATTAGTCTCAAATAATGAAATTATGATATTTTATCTTGCTTTATTTTTTTATTACTAATTTTTAATTCTAATTTTTTAATACTTTATTTAGTACTTTTTTAATCTAAAATAATTACAATAAAAAGTAATCTGCATATCAAATTTTGATCGTAAATGATTTCAAATATTGAATATGTATAATTAGAAAAAATACATTTATTACAAATTACTTTAATTCAAAATCTATACTTTCCCACTTTCTTATCAATTTAAACTTTATATATTTACATAAACAAATATAAATTTTAAGCAATTTATTAATTTAATAGTAACTTCTTTTTACTATTGTGTTTATATTCCACACGAGAGAACTTCATGTAGAAAAATCGGGCCAATCTTATTGTGTAAGATACATTTTGTGAAGCGCGGCGTACAGAAAATTTGAAATAAATAATCGCCATTGTAATATAGGCCGCAGCGATAAACCGCATCGCACATATTGTACCAACAACGCGCGATGTAATCAGAATGCAGCGGATCGTCCGCTTGAAAAATGCATTTGGTCCTCGTCTAAATTCGCTGGCAGCCGTGCACAATGTTTGTCCAGTGATGTGAAAAATCGCGCGCAACATACTATCGTTTCGTGAGCGCGTGATTTTCGCATGAGATTGCTACGAAAAATGAATGAAAGAGAATATTTTCGAGAAACATACGAATGTATTACCAAAGCATATGTATTATCATAAGCTCGATTAACAAACTACATTAAAATCTGCAATATCGCTGAAATTAAAAATATATTTGTTGATATTATGTAAATACTGATTTATGTACTACAATTAATTTATTACAGAAAGACTAAAGAAAGAGAGAAAGAATCAATATATGTTTTTAAGTATAATGATATTTATTATTTCGAATAAAAAATGTTATAATATTTATTTTTATAATATA